CCATGGTCAGTAAATAACCTCATTAACTATTGTTCCACCATGGTCAGTAAATAATTAACCCTCCATGTTCCAACTATTGTTCCACTGTTCCACCATGGTCAGTAAATAACCTCATTAACTATTGTTCCACTGTTCCACCATGGTCAGTAAATAACCTCATTAACTATTAAATATTGTTCCATGTTCCACCATGGTCAGTAAATAATTACCTCATTAACTATTGTTCACTGTTCCACCATGGTCATTCATTAATAACCTCATGAACATTGTTCCTCCACTGTTTCACCATGGTCAGTAAATAACCTCATTAACTATTGTTCCACTGTTCCACCATGGTCAGTATCAACCTCATTAACTGTAAAGTATACCAAAATGCAAAACTTATTTTGAGGTTCCATACCATGGGGTAAAGTAACCTCATGAACTATTGTTCCACTGAGGGGTTACGACCTCTGCCAGATTATTATTGCTGTGTCCCATGTTAGGATTATCACCATGGTCTTAACTGAACTATTTGAGATTCCCTATGTGCTAAATGTTATTATTGATTCCCTACCATTGTCACTGGTAATAAAAGTTAATGTGAATGAAAAATTTTGTGTTGCTATCCCTTGTGATAGTAATAAAGTTGATTAAAAAAATAAATAAATAAAGAGACAGTATAAACAACTTTTTTAAATAAAATAAATAATAACATTTAAAAAATTAAAGCATCCCTGTCCGTCCATGCTCACACACAAATGCGGATGCGAGTGCTAGTAAAACATTTGTATTTGAAAAACCACTGCATAAATATCATGTGACATAAAAATATGCAATACCCCCATTTTTCTTCTAGGGCCTCTGCATAAAAATTCATAATATTTTAGGATTCTAAGTAGTTTTCTAGCAAAAAAATGATGATTTTATACATGTAGGAGAGGAATGTCAGAATTGGTTGGAACTGCAAGTGGTTATTGCAGGAGGAGGAGGGAGAGGAACGGGTTCTCAATGGAAACTTTTTTTTATAGCAGCTTTACAGTAGACCCAGATCTATTAACAAATGCAACACCAGAAGTTCAGAGACACAAAGAGGACGTGGCATCCCTTGTACAGAATCCACCTGATTGTGAGAAAACTGCACCGCTTCAGATTGGATTACGACCTGAAATGCCCTGCAATAAGATAGGGTGCAGGTCCAGTTCATTACATAATCACTGAGAGAAAGAAAAGTGGATAACCATACACCAGGCAAATAAATCACCAACTTCTTTACTACACAGATATAATCCAGACAAAAACACAGTACATAAGAAATTGATTAATGCGTTTCATGTCACAGGCGCTTAATTATAACATGCTACATCTGTTTGCAAACAACATACATTATATAAGGTCAGCAAATGAAGTGTTAAGCCAAAACAGAAAAGTGAATGTTCCTAATTAGACTCACGCATAAAGAAACACAAAACAAGAAAAACAATGAAAATATATATAATAAATTCCCCATTCAGAATCACAAAGCACAGAAAAAAAGAGAATATATATATAGCAACAATAATACAAACAATTTTAGAGATTGCAGTAAACATCATAAAAGAATAGATGATCAAACAGAATGCCACCACTAAAAACAGACACCTCTAACAAAGGAGTACCTAAGGTATATTTAGCAAAGTGGAAAAGTGTAACAAAATGCAAGTAGAAAAAATATATATATATATATAAGAAAAAGGAAAAGAGAGAGGAAAGCATCCAGCAGGGAAGGAAACAAACCCAGGGACATCCAAAGCAGGCGGGGATCATTATTACTGTTAGAAATGTGTCACATCTCATTCAAAATTAAGATACAATGGTATCCTGGTACACAAATGAAAGATTCAGAATACCTGCCTGCAAAGAAGTCCGAAGGCATCACTTCCCCTGCTTGGGCAATTGTTTCTCTCTATAACCTGCACTTTAAGGGATGACATATCACCATAATGAACCCCATTAAAGTGAAGTGCCACATTGGTGGTGTGATTCTAGGCAATATCATATAAATGATCATGTACATGATCTCGTTGACGTCTCGTTGCATGACCAAAGTACTGAACAAAACAGAATTGGCATGTAATAACATATGCTGTATTTCATGTTGCAAAAAGAAGATATTATATAACTCATATTGCTAACAGTGGACTGGACTAAATCACCATGTAAAATATGGGGGCAGCAAGAAGAAGTTGGAGCTTTTATTATTAGGTGTGTGGTACTCTGCTTTTCTTCCATACAGAATCCACCTGCTTGTGCAAGGTAGGACATCTTTCATTACAGTTTAACATAGATAACTAAAGCTATAGATAATTTTTTTAAGGCTAAATTTCAGCTTTAACAATCAGTAACTCTTTGATTTTCATTGTGATGGTAGTGTAATTTAGGTAACTGTTCATTAATGAGATGATAACAGTCACTCTAGTTAGGTGAGTCCAACAAGCTAGTTAGCTGCTCAAAAAAAGCTTATATGGGGTTGTCATTAATATAATAAAATATATATTTTTTTAAAAAATTTTACATACCAGTATCAAATCAATGTTAAGTGATCTTGCCCTTCAAATGGAAGTGGAGGCAGCCTGCAAAAGAAAAAGGGGACTATTTTTTTTTTTTTGGGGTATAGTAAGGGAAGACTTTGTTCTCTTGCATAGCTCTGCACACTGTTGCCATCCAATACTTCCAAGTATTTTGAATAGCATGCCCTCTACTGGGCACTATGGTTCCTCCCACTGACCCCTACCTTGCCACAGAACACTTGTAATGTAGGAATCAGTGACATGAACCTCAGCACCTAGCTGGGAACAAACTGACACACCCAGAAATGTTGAATATCATTGGTGCCCTGAGCTCTGTAAGAGTGAAGATTTCCCTTACCCGCCTACCCTAAAAGTGAGTATTCATTTTATTTATCTGTAGGCTGATTCTACTACAGACTTACCATTTGGTAGACTTAGCAACAGGATTGCTATAAATATTAACGTGACATTAAAAAAAATCAAAGAAATAGTCAATCAATATCGAAGCACAATGCTTACAGGCTTATTTAATTAAGGCAATGAACAATGTGCAAGTGTGGTAACCCCTAGCAGTCAATTTGAATTAATATTTCACAGGTCTCACTACAATTTATTGAACTTGATTTGCTAAGGGTTACATCATTTTGCATATTGTTACTCTTTTGCTGCCCTACTAAGTAAACCTGAATGTGTACATAGCGTCAAGAGAAATGTATTTTTCCAGGAAGCTTTCAGTATTTGCTCTTTATCTTTAAAAAAAATTGGAAGTCTCTAATTATAATTTTATTATACAACAATGTTCAGTATGACCCTTTAAAGGTATACCTAGCATTATTAATTTTATTATTAGAATAGCTACATATGCCATATGAATGCTGAATGTAAAGTCTTTCTATACAAAAGAAATTTAGGTTATAAAATTAAGATTTTTCCTACCTTCACTGTGGAAAAAAGAACATTTCGAAGTATCTGTAGCAGCAGAAAGAAAACTTTCAGAAATGAACACACAATACAATGAACTTATCCTGATTTTGTTATTCAGTAAAATGTACTGAATGTCTGAATAGAGGTGGCCATTCATGCAGAGTTCTGTCCCTGAAACTGAAGACGCATAGAATTATGCATTACCTTTTACATATAAATAAAGCTGAGGAAAGGACTTACATTTTTTCCTTTATGGTAGAAGAGGTTATTTTCACAGTCTGGTACAATTACTGAATGTACAGTATGCCTTGGTAAAGAGATCATTATGTATAAGGTTATTCACTAAATGAATTCCCTGACATTTATGTTATTTGTATCTAGACATTTAATTGGTTAATTAATCTCTGAGCATTCTACAGAGGTGAGCATGTTTTGGCTTCCTTTGAGTTAGAAACTGGTGAGCATATTGAGACTGGTTTGGAAGAAGGAATAAACATAATTGTTGATGTTGCCATTATCTATCAAAATCCATTGGTTTTACTTTGTCTAGGGTTTATGTTCTAAAAAGCTAATTGATCAGTGCAGTAATCCATAGCAACCAATAAGAATTCACTATGATAAAGTCAGGCTGGTACAAGATGCATTCTGATTAGCTGCTCTGAGTAAGTCAACTTAAGAAAATCCACTTCTTATTATATAAGAATTTGTCTCATTTTTAATATGCATGTTTAAGGCATAGTCCACCTTTAAGAAAATGTAAATGAATGTACCAACATGATAAAATAAAAATGAGCATTAATTGCATTTTTGCATTTGTGTCAATTAGGACACATAGACTGCATGGACACAACCACTGCTCCCAATGTGACATCCATGTGAATTCGGGTGCAAGTGGGTGCATTTCCCTAAACTCACACTGCGTTCAGAGACACACAGCTGCACCCACACAATGTCAAACTGAGAGAAGTGGCTGTGTCTGCATAACCTTTGAATCCCAGTTGACATGAATGGGAGTTCCTTCAGGTGGATGCATGGAACACCTGTGAAACCCATGTGGGCAAACAAGACCCTTTGCAATGGCTTTATGCTTAAGTACGCCTGAGTGAACTAGGCCTAAGGCAGTTAAGTTGGGTGGACCATTGTAGTAGAATGTTCATATTAACCCATATATTTCATGTTATTGATTTTAATTAACATACACTATATTGCCAAAAGTATTGGGATGCCTGCCTTTATACGCACATGAACTTTAATGGCATCTTAGTCTGTAGGGTTCAATATTGAGCTGGCCCACCCTTTGCAGCTATAGCAGCTTCAACTCTTCTGGGAAGGCTGTCCACAAGATTTAGGAGTGTGTCTATGGGAATGTTTGGCCACTCTTCCAGAAGCGCATTTGTGAGGTCAGGCTCTGATATCCGACGAGAAGGCCTGGCTCTCAGTCTCCCCTCTAAGTCATCTCAAAGGTGTTCTATCAGGTTGAGATCAGGACAGTCAAGTTCCTCCACCCCAAACTTGCTCATCCATGTCTTTATGGACCTTGCTTTGTGAACTGGTGCAGTCACGTTGGAACAGGAAGGGGCCATCACCAAACTGTTCCCACAAAGCATGAAATTGTCCAAAATGTCTTGGTATGCTGACGCCTAGAACTAAAGTACCAAGCTTAACCCCAGAAACCATTATCCCTCCTCCACCAAACTTTACACTTGGCACAATGCAGTCAGGCAAGTACCGTACTCCTGGAAACTGACAAACCGAGACATGTCCATTGGATCGCCAGACAGAGAAGTGTGATTGGTCACTCCAGAGAACACGTCCCCACTGCTCTAGAGTCCAGTGCTTTACACCACTGCATCCAACGCTTTGCATTGCACTTGGTCATGTAAGGCTTGGATGCAGCTGCTCGGCCATGGAAACCCATTCCATGAAGCTCTCTACGCACTGTTGTGCTAATCTGAAGGCCACACAAAGTTTGGAGGTCTTTAGCTATTGACTTTGCGGACAGTTGGTGACATTTGCACACTGTGCGCTTCAGCATGTGCTGACCCCGCTCTGTCATTTTATGTGGCCTACCACTTCGTGGCTGAGATGCTGTTTTTTCCCAGTTAATTCCACTTTGTTATAATACCACTAACAGGTGACTGTGGAATATTTAGTAACAAGGAAATTTCACGGATGGACTTGCACAAGTGGCAGCCTATCACGGTACCATGCTTGAATTCACTGAGCTTCTGAGAGCAACCCATTCTTTCACAAATGTTTGTAGAAGCAGTCTGCATGCCTAGGTGCTTGATTTTATCCACCTGTGGCAATGGAGGTGATTGGAACCCCTGTATCCATTGATTTGGAGGGCTGGCCCAATACTTTTGGCAATATAGTGTATGTATTAATAACTAAATAGTATTGATTATTATTTTCAAACAATAGCTATTATTTGTAGAAATATATATATATATATATATATATATATTAGTTGAACTTCAGATGATCTCTCAGACAGTTTTAGGCATCATGGTCTGCAGACGCAGAAATTTGTTATTTTTTTACTTATGGTAATTACAGTAACGTATGTCTTGACAACCAATCATATTGTACCACATGTAATTATATGATGAAAGATTCTTATAAAAGAAGCCTGGTTGCCCTCTTTCTTTGAGCGAGTAATGAACTTGCTCCCAGCTGTAGCTCATATTAATACAGCCTCCTGCTCTTTTGGAAATTCACTGCCTGATTATGTTGTTTTGATATTTTCTACATCACCATGGCATCACCATGGCAAAAAAAGTTATAGCATTTACATTGTTGATTTATACGTGTTTTGGGCTTATTACAATATTGATTTTCGTTTTAAGTGCAGTTGCCCTTTATCCTCTTGTTTTCCACATAATGCATATGTGTGGTAGTACAGATGGCAGACTTTAATGCCTACATGCCGCACATATGCTTCTGTGGGTGGCAGAAATTTCTGTGCTGAGAACACGCTCACTGAGAGATTCAAGTGACCTAGCTGTCAAAGACTGTTCTCTGTTTCTACTACATCAGCCGGACTGGTTCCTGATTATGTGACAGTAGTGACAACTAACCACAGTGGTCATGTGACCAGCCAGTGCTTTCCACCCCCGCATGTACAGACTCTGTAAATGGGACATCAGGACTTGGTGGGAGGGAGTAAAGGTGTTTAACAGTTTCTTCAAACATGTGGAAAAATGCACCAACAGCTGTAGGTAGTGCTCTGAATATTGAGAAAATTTGATAAACTGGCATGTAATGTGAACTTTAAAAAAATATTTTTTCAGATGAAGAAAACCAGCCTACTCTAGGATCTGTCCAGCAGTCAAGGAGAATGTCACAAACAACTGACTGATTGGTATCCAGTGGAGAAAAATAGGTAATATTTTTCTTTAAAAGAAAAACAGCCATTTTCAGTGCAGATATGTAGACTGTTTGAGTGAACAAATAAATAAATAGAGTAAATATAATCAGAATAAAAATAAGGCAGATAAACAAAAGAAATCTCAAAACAGTGTGATGATATATAAGCAAGGCACCATCTCAGTCACCTTTTGTAACACGCTTCATGATTAAAACTCTGTGTTCTCACTTAATTAGTTAACGTACTTTACAAGAAACGTGCAATAAAAAAATAATTTCTCACTTCTAGAAAGAGGGATATCAACTGACATTAATGTACTAGTATATAAATAGCTAAGATTATATTTGCCTGCATTGTGCCATTTTTCAGGGCTTCTAAGGGCATAATCCCAAAATGGAAAATAAAAGAGCAACTAAAGCCAAAATGATGTTTTAAATTGTTCCTATTCACACCAGAAGACAGTGCGGGAATCCACATTACATGTGTGTTTCCTGCACCATGTTCAAAACGACACCTCAAAGGCAGTGCATTAGCCTGCACTGGATTTCATGGTACAAAAGTATCATGCAATTCAGCTGCAGTGCATGTTTGCATGCACTACTTCTGTTGCAGTACAGTGTGATTCAGCCCAACCAAAATTAATGGGCTCAAATCGCACCGAACTGCACTGCATGTGAACCACATAGGAATGTACTGTGTGAACTGGCCTTAAATTGGGATGGGTTAGAATCTTTTTAGCTGAGACTTAACCATGCTATGTACATCCAAAGAGTTAAGGGTTAAACACAAGCTGATGGCTGTGCCCCTTTTGGCCTCTGTTACTGGGAGCCTGGGACCACATCAAGCCACTTCAGGATGGAGAGCCGGGGAGACTGAGTTCACATCCATGCCTCGCTCTCCCCTGTAAACAAATAAACTGGAAATGACAATGATTTTGCCACTTTTGGTTTCAGATCCATCATTTCCTGGTCGGTACAGTCAGGGGACACATATAATCGAGAGGATCTGTGCTCAGTTACATGCACTGGAGGAAAAGAGAAACACTGGGGTGTATTAGACTCCTAAGGTCTCCAAAAACATACCTGTCACTTGCCCAATACTATCACATGGGATAGCAATAAAGTAAAAATAAATACATTAATAAATACAATATAAGAAAATAAAAATTATAACAAAATATATATTTTATTAATTATCCATGGCTAGTGTAAGACAGACGGCCACTTAGCTTCACAGCTCTGCGCAGCAGCGGCTTTCAGGAGCGAATTACTGCTCCATCCAGCAAAGGAGAGCAATGGTTTTTGGCCCCAGAAACATTGGGCACCCTAGGAGAATATGCCCCACAAGAGAAAAGACACTAGTCGGCTGGGCCGCATGATGGATTCTTTCCTGATCCTCTCCGTGCTCATGGCCAAGATAGGGGTGGCTCCTCGCAGCTTCAACACATCCACGACTCACAGAAATCAGGCATGAGGCATAATGGCAGGGGAACGATCTCTGAACCATCATTAGATTTCCGTGTATAAGGGTGGTTCTAAAACACACACTTTTAAGATTCAGGGTATTCAAACATAAAAAAACTCACAGTTACAATAACACGCTTTTTATTTGTTTACTAATTATTTGTTTACAGGCATGGATACGTCTTTGCCAAACAATTGTGTGCTGATTTAGTTGATTTACTAAAATAATTGAGAATCTTCTCATGATAAATTGTGTATTCAATTCAATTATCAGTTTCTGTGAAGAGCACAAATTCCTGTTCACATTGAAGACCCAATTATGTGCACATAAAATTAATAAACAGGAATTTGCTTATCACATACTCGAATAACTGAAGTGAATATTCACAAAAATGTATTATGTGACGATTCTCAACCCTTTTAGTATGTATCTAATCATAAAAGCAGCATTTGATTCACACCTACAATACAGATTGTATTAGGTTGCATGTTCTTCTTTGTTTGCATTGTATATCTCATAGCACTGTAATCATCTTCAGCCTAGTACACACGGGCCGAATTTTGGGCAGCATTAGCTGGTTCAATAGAAACCAGCCAACATTCGGCCTGTGTTTAAGACAAATACTCAGAGGTTTCCATACTAACTAAGCAATTTTAGTGTGGCAATCTCCCCCACTGGGCCATTGTATTCTGACATCCCGCCAGAACACACTGATCAGTGCGCATAGCCATTGGCTGCCAGTGCTAATAAGATGCTGATTTTCCAGCATGCTCATTCGGCAGAAGCTGTCAGACAGGGAGCTGTACACACAGGGCAAATGTCAGCCTGTTCCTGCTGAACCAACCATTTTCAGATGAATTTTGACCTGTGTGTACCAGCCTTATCCTGGACATTTACCTTTAACCCCCTTATCTCTATCTTCCATTATTTGTGACCTGTAAATATATTGTATATAGGCGAGCGCTAGTGATGACTATAAAGAAGCTAGCATGCAAGGTATAGGTAACGATCCCCACAAGTATATGTAGAGCAAAGTTTTTTATACATATTACATGTGACCTGTGTATGATGTAATACACCTTTACCAGATTCCATGATTTAACCCCTCCAAAACAAGCATATTTCTTAATCCCCACCCCCCCCCTAAAAAGAAGGCAAAACATGAGATCACTTTCCAAAAATCTGTAATGTTGGTGGTATCTATACTGTCTTTTTTCAAAGGTTTTGGATGTCTGCTGAAAAAGAAAGAAAATTTAAAAATGGTTATTATATAACGCCATCAGAAATGATATAAAATTCATTTGGGCACAATGTGAGCACAATTGCCTTGTAATGAAGGGATATTACAGACTGATACTCAAGTGGTTAAAGTGCAACTAAAGGATCCTGTGTGACAATGCAAACAAGTACTAAATTCAGTTACTTCGTGATGGACAAACCTCATAAAATAAACAACAAACTTCCTTTACCTCTAATGACTGAGCTAAATCCTCCTTCATTTGCATCTCTCATATCTTATATTAGGAGGGTTTCAGGAACAGAAGCATTGCTGTCATTCCAGATGGACTAGGTGTGGTCTAGGTACTGACCAGGGGCGGACTGACAACTCATGGGGCCCCCAGGCAATAGGGGATCATGGGGCCCCTGTGTCCTTGCCCACACTCAAACCACACCCAAAAAAGCCTCTGAAAGGTACCAGGGATATCTCATGGGGCCCCCTACTGACCACGGGCCCTCGGGCAGTGCCCGAGTTCCCCAATGGTCAGTCCGCCCCTGGTACTGACTGACAAGATACAGGCTTGTGAATGAACATGAGCATGGATAATACTGATAGGCACATCACCTGCAGTGTTTGTCCATCCTTGTGTAGTGCAAGCAGCAGGCACAGCCTACATGAGAAGGGCAACTCTTTCCTGAATTCAGGAGCAGTGCAGCATTGTTACCACACCTTCGCAGAAAGCTGCATTAAGTGGACTTTACTGGCAGGATCAACAGATATTTGTGAGACTTTGCAGGTAGACTAAGAAAAAACTATAAGAGCAGATGTACTTATAATTAAGTTTAGTGTTGCAACACATATTTTTAATAGTAGACTGCAGTTCTTTTTTAAACATAAGCTTGTTTCACATATATTTATTCATTATAAAAGGTTAGTAAATAAAGAACAATATTTTAAAAAATAAAGAAAAATATTTTGTAATGGTAATACAATGTTTTACACACACACACACACACACACACACACACACACATATATTTATTTTATTTATTTTTTTAAAAGTACCTTGATCTCTTGATTTAGTAATAACATTTCTCTGTTACAGACTTCTGAGATACAGTCTCATTTTCCATTCTCTCACTAACATCCTGTTATTTGTCTTTTGATTTAATTTTAAAGTTGTTTCTGCTTGCACTCAGCTGAGAATTCCTTCATATAGGATT